GCTGTCCAGGCCTACACGAGATGAGGCAGGATAAAGAGGGATAATCCCCCTCGATCCCAAATCATTGAGGCCAATTTCTAGCCATAGAATAATGGCGCGTACTAAGGTGCTTGCAGTCACGGACACAGAATATCCTGTAGTTAGGATATTCTGTGCCTAAATCTTAAATGTTCTGTGGTTGTCAGAGTTATAAAGTTATTGTATTCTGTAGAAATAGAAATTAAATTTAGGAAACCGATACGGAACAAGTAAGTTCAGAGGAAAATAATCGTAAATATGGTAGGTTTAAGTGTTTATTTGTATTTTTTCCAATTAAACTTTAGAACTAGTTGTGAAAATGTCTAAACAAATCAAACGAAAAATAACGGTGAACATCACTCCGAAAACTAAAACGCTGCCTAAATCTCGTCCAAGTGTATTTGAACGTTTAGGTACGAAAGCAAATTCATCAAATAAAGAATACTGCCATCACTGGGCTCAAAGTGGCTCTTGTCCGTATGGAAAAGGTTGTAAGTATTCTTCAACACATACATTGATAAGCCCATCTAAGCAAAGAGCAGCTAAGTCTCAAACTGTAACCAAAAGGCGACACGCAAAAGATGCCCATAAAAGGGTACACAGTGGAGAGCCTGAAGATTGGGATCAGTGGGACCCTGATGAGTTAGAGGATGCCGATCCGGATGATTTAGAGAAACGTAGACAAGAGTTGCAGAGAGAGCTAGAGTTGCAAATGAAAATGGAAAATAAAGCAAGGAAAAAGGAGAAAAAAGTAAAAAAAGAGAGTAGCCCGTCTAGTGAGAGTTCAAGTTCTTCAACTGAATCTAGTACTAGTAGTGAGGAGTCCAGTTCAACAAGTTCATCGTCAGTTGAATCTAGACGAAAAAAAATTAAAAAAACTAAATCAAAACGTGCTAGTTCCTCTTCTTCAGAAGAAAGAGTTCGTAAACATAAGATAAAAAATAAAAAAACTTCGAAGTCAGTAGTTCGAGAAAAAGTAAAGAAAACTGTTAAACCAACAGCTAAAGTAACTGCAAAATCGCCTTCTCCAGTTCGTATCAGGAAGAAATCGGAAACTCCACCCTTAAAATCTAAGCAAACAGTAACCTCGAAGAAGGCAAGTTCAGAAACTAAGTCGCCAAGACCATTAAGTCGTTCGAGTGATCGCAAAGATAAACACAGGACACCTTCACCAAAACTGCCAAAGGAAAAAGAAAGAGAAAAGGAACGAGAACGAGAAAAAGAAAGGGAACGGGAGAAAGAGAGAGAACGTGAAAGAGAGAAGGAAAGAGAAAGAGAACGTGAAAAGGAAAAAGAACGTGAACGTGAAAAAGAGAAAGAAAGGGAACGCGAAAGAGCTAAAGAAAGAGCAAAAGAACGAGAAAGGGAAAAAGATTATAAAAAGAAAGATTCAAACAGATCCCCTAAAAGAGATTCTAGATCAGTGAAGGATAATAAAAAAAGAGATACTCCAGATTCATCTCATTCAAGAGATAGAAAATCTTCTCCTAGTAGATCTAAAGGTGTAGGTAGCAGTAGTAGTCGCAGAGATCACAAAAGTCCGCCTTCAAAGGATGACCGTAGAAGTGATAAAAGAGATGACCGGGCTAGGTGAGTAAAAATTTTTTTATGTTACCCTTATTTATTTATTAGTCTTCTGTAGTAATATTAAATCCTACAGTACCGAATTTGTTACATCATTTTTATCATACACAGTGTTTTTAAGCAATTAGCACTAGCACATTGGACACATAATACCAACAAAACAATTTTTTACTTCAACAATCTGTACTGGAGTTATACTGACTGCATTCTTTGATATTTTAAGACTTATTCCAATTGGTGCCAAATTTGTTGTTTTTGTTATCATGACTGTGTTTAATTAGGTATTCAAAACTTAGTCACTCTATGCATTGTACCAAGAAACGACTTTATTTACTTCAGCTGCCTGTATTCAGGTTACGTTGACTGCATATCTCAGATATTTTAAAGCTTTTTTCAATCAGTACCAAATTTGTTACATTGTTATCAGCTAAGTTTAGGTTTACAAAACTTAAACACCGGACTGTTATACCAAGAAAACATTTTGTTACTACAGCTGCCTGCACTAGCATTACATATCTTATGTAGGTATTTTTTAAATTGTTTCAAGTGATAGTGAATTTGTTACGATATTTGTTACTTCAGCTGCCTGTACTGCACCTTATTGTACAGCTGACTACATATCTCACATATTTTGAAACTTGTTCCTAGTGGCACCAAAGTAATGACGTTTTTTTGTTGTCAGAAATCATGTTAAAGTAATTAAAAGTCGTACCGTTATAATGTTTTTATTACCTTAAACTGTGTTTAAGTATTGAAATCTAAGCCATTCACCCTATTATACTCGGGACTGGATGGTGAGGCCCAGGGCTATAAGTTCTATGCAAGCCCTCTTTCTAAATAATAAAAAAAAAAACTATATTAAATTTCAAAACCTAAATACCTAAGATGTTTGATTCTAAAAAAAAAACGATATTAAATTTCAAAACTTATACAGGTTTTTGTTTGATTCTAAAAAAAGGTCACTTAATCAGCAACTTGTCGATATAAAATTTCAAAACCTACACTTTTTGGTTTGATTCTCAAAAAAAAATTGCCAGATCTTGCCGAGGCCCCCCCGATCTTGGGAGGCCCTAGGCTACAGCCCCCGTAGCCCTCCTCCGAGATCGGGCCCTGATTATTCTAAAAAACAATTTCTCTCTTCAACTACCTGCACTAGAGTTGCACTGATTGAAGTGGTACCAAATTTGTTCCGAAGCTTTTATTATCGAAAACTGTGTTTAAGTATTGTGCACATTATACAAGCAAAACAATTTATTACTTCAGCTGTCTGCACTGAATTTGCACTGAACATTTTTTATGATGTTCATACCAAATTCATTACAACACCTTCCTTATTATATACTGTATTTGAGCTATAAAAGTGTAAAAAAATAAGTCACATTTCATTCTTTGTCCAATAGAGAAGCAAAAAGGACTAGTAATGGCCCTTATGTATTTTAAAGTGTGTTCCAGCCTGGTGAAATTTGCAAATTTTTTTATCAAACATTTATAATGTATTCACAATCAAGATTCTGCAGAAAAATTAAAATTTTGTTTGAACTAAAGCTACATGTAATTCTGAATAATTTACAATGCCAGTTATGAGAATTGTTGAAATGTTTACCATTTATAAGAGCAAAATAGTTTTGTAAACTTTTTAGCTGCAGAATGTGAAGTGCTGAGCAATCCTACATGGGCTGCAAACATAAACGCTATTCGGATATTTCTTCAAAAAATAGTTGAAGGAACAAAGTTTATCTTGGTGTAACAAAATATCTGTTAGATTAATAAGATATTATCAACAAAGTAACAAAGTATTCTGCATATTTTTTTAACCCAACTCCATTTATTTCATGGTTTTCTTTTTTTGGCATTAGAAATCATCTAAATTGAAAATTTGACTGCCTGATGTTGCTTCGTTTAGAAATCACCTGTATATTGGTAATTTCTTAAATAGATTTATATCTAAAATGTTTGATGCATTACTTATAACACATCCTTATATTTAATCTGTATGTTCATGCTCATTTAAAAATCATACACAGCTTGAAAATTTAAAAGCAAAATTTTATAAGCTCTAAAAAATTATGTGCAAGAGTATCTATTAAAAATGTTAGCCACACCCAATTTACTTCTGTAATATAAAATTTAAATTACAGAAGTAAATTCAAGTATATTCAATTGTTGGATATATTTCATATGTCTAACAATTGAAGAGATTTGCTCCTGGAATATATCCCATTTGTTAATCTGAGACATTTACCTACTGAAATTTGTGATCAAAGTTTTAATTTTGCTAGTTTCTTATAATTGTCAATTATAAAAAACACAAAATATTGACAATAGAATAAATTAGAAATATATTTTAAAGAACTCAGTCACGTAAGCAGACTTCTGAAATTGTGTAGGGACAAAGCGGCATGCTCTGTGAAATTAACTTCAAAAAGGAAAGGGAAACTCCACACAAATTAACACTCCTTTATTTTTGCTATGTTCTATAACAAAATAACTTCCCAAAATAAAAAATGAAGAAAACCCTGACACTTAATTCACCTACCTTGTTTCATAAAAGAGAAATGTCTCATACTCTGCTTCATATCACTCTTTCAAACTGCTTTGCAAAAATACAAATACTTTCAGATTAAGTTACACTGTACATACTTTGATATTTTCAAAACTATTGAAAATTAATAACCCTTATTTGGGTTATTACTGACAAAATTAATTTGAATAAAAACGTTTTTCCAAGGCTGACATACCAAGTGTCCCAACATTAAGTTGTGCCATATTTCAATATTTCCAAGACCATTAAGAATCCCTTCCCTTAGTTGGGTAGATCACAGGAAACTTCTTTTATGTATAAAATTAAGTTTTAACGAAAATGTCATAATTTTCCTAAAGTTGATATACAAAATAACCCAATATTCTTTGTACATGCAGCTGTTACAGATTCTTGTAGTGACAATAATAGGTTTATTTCTGAAGTAAATTTCTGTTAATATAAATAAATATCAAATAGTCCACAAACGCACAGGCGCGTTTGTAGATTAATTGCTAACGGTTGTGAATGTTGCACTGCAAGAACGGCCGTTTGGTTTGAGTTTGACATTTTATACAGTAACGCAAAGTATTATAGTTTATGTTTTGTATACAGAATATGAAACGGGGGTAACAACTGATAACAGAGAAAAATAGATATCTGTTAACCTTAAATCTGTCAGACTAGTTGAAGTAGATGTTTTTGTTTTTCTGTAATTACAGATTATGAGACTGGCTGTTCTTGAATGTTGAAGATAGTAGAAAGGAAAATACAATTATTTTTATTTATGATACGGGAGCTACGATTTTAATCCTATTGATCAATATTTTTTACTTAATTTTGTCCATATCGTCATTTTCACGGGTGTGTCCTAATTAATAATAATTAAAAAAATGAATAGCGTAATAGATACTTTGCACATTATTCCAAAAATTCTAAGGAAATATATTAAAAAATTAATCAAGTCGCCAAGATCAGACAACTTGGATTACCGAAATTAATGTGCATGTCTTGGATTGGTAGTTCGCAGATAAATCTCCAACCAGTATGATTGCCAGTAAATGTGACAGTTTAAAAATACTGCAAGTATACCAAATTTCCAGTAAGAGTTTGAGATTTGTTCTGCAGAAACCGAGGCAGAAACGGTAATTTCATAATGTGCGTGCTTCTGACAATTGCAAACCATTTAAAACTGCTGCAGAAACAAACCTAACATCATTTAACTAAACTTACTTCTACCAAAGTTCATTATTTTAGTTAGTACAGGAAGTCAAAATTGGCAAAAATGTTAATTTTTTCCTATTTCGAAAAATTTTGTTTTGTGGTTTAAAGTTCCATAGTTTGGAATAATAAATGCAAACAATTTAGGGAGTGAATTTTGTCGTAAAAGTAATACCCATGCTGTAAAATTTTTGCTCCTATTTCCATAATATTTTGATAACAGTTTTATTCATTTGATTATGTCTTGTTTGTAAATGTTGCATATTATTAAGAAAAATTAAATTCCTAAGTAGATGTTGTATTTGTTAGATCTAGAGGGAAGGATAGATCTTGTGATAAAAATCGCAAAGAAAAACGTGATTCTCGTGATAGAGACAGAGAAAGGGAACGAGAAAGGGAAAGAAGAATTGCAAGGGAAGAGAGGGAGGCTGCTAGAGAAAAAGAAAGAGAAGAGGCATTAGCTAGGTGCCAGGAGAGGCAGAGAGAACGGGAAAGATTGAAAGAGTTAGCTAAAAAGGAAGACGAACGTAGAGGGAGGGATAGAAGTAGAAGAGAAGATAGAGGAATAGAGAAAACTTCAGGTAATTAGACTACCTTAGGGAGGAAAACATATTTTGTATATACCTATTTTGCAATAGCAAATTATAATATTTTAAAATATAACGTGTATATCTTAATTTTATTTAGGTGATAGAGGGGAAAGAATACTACCATTATCAGATGAGCGTCTAGCTCCATGTCGTAAAGCTCATTCTTCAGAAAGAGACAGGAATGATCGTAGAGATAGAGATCGTCATGATCGGACTCCCGACAGCAGAAGAAAATCTCCTGATAGGCATGATCGGTTAGATCGGGATATCGATAAAGATAGGAATTATGACAGGAGCTATGATAGATCCACAGACCGGAATTATGATAGAGATCGTGATCATGATAGAGACAGAGATTATAGCTTACATCCTAGAATTAGAGATAGTGATAGAAGATTAGATGATAAAGATTACAGCAGTCCCTATGACAGAACTAGACATGATGATAGAAGATATCTTGAATTGGATGATCATTACAATGAAAATTCTAGAGATGACAGAATTCCAATTGACGGAAGAGACTATCCAGATGATAGAAGAACCAGAAGGGAATTATGGGACTTACGAGAAGATCGAGGGGATATTGATAGGTCAGAGTATTATCTAATTATTTGTCAATTTCACATTAATAATTTGTTTAATGATATTTTATTATATACAGAGTGTTACAAGCAGTAGCAGCTCATGGATCTAGAAAAGGGAAATCAATTTTAAACAGCTAGCATACCTCAAATAACTTATATAACATCAATCTTCCAACAGTTTTGAGATGCGAAGTGGTCAATAACTTTCTTGTTGAAATCATTTATTTGTTTTATCAACAATTTTTCTATACTAAGCCTAGCTAAAGCTTAACTTTTCTAGTTTCATTGTACTTCTTAGAAATGTCTTATCATTTTAAAGTTGAAAGACAGCGTTCATTTTCAACTGTTGTCAGACATTTTAAAAAGTTTCATACTTTCAGAAAAAGTAATACGCTGGTTATTGTTGAATAACAACCACTATTATATTATTCACTTATAAAAAATTATCCATTTTAAAATAATTTCATTAAGTTTTCAACTGTTTAAATAATTTGTCAATGTCTTGAGGATAAGTTTTTTTAGTTATAAATCAACCTGTAGGTGCGTTTTGTTGGATCAATCCCGGATTTATTGGATTCTTTACAATGACATTTATCAATAAAACGATTCGAATCAAATCTGATACTAGACAGACGCCGAATATCAACGGGCCAATGCTACACCAGCTAGTAACCTCACAAATTTGATCTCCCCACCACCTAATTCTAATAATTCCGTCTCAAACCACAGAAGCAAAAGTTGCAACCGGATTCAGAATATCCTTGCAATAAAACGCCTATTCTGCATAATTCAATTCCGGAATCAATCCAACAAAACGCACCTTGTATGAAATAATTGCAATGCTGCTAACTGATTGCTGAAGCCAAATTTTATTTGCTGCTGACACTATCACAGTTAATTGTAGTTACTCAACATACAATCTTTTTTGTAAAATAGCTGCCAACAAAAGAACTTTCGAAAATTATTGATTTAGTACAAAATATAACTTACTTTAAACAATACAAAAACTCGATCACTACATTTTTGTCTTCGCAAGTACGAAGAGTTCATTTCTTCAGCAACAGTTACATTCTTAGAAATTATTTTGGACTCGCGACTTAGTTGGGTACTTCATGTTAATTATCTTATAAGTATGTTATCGAAATATATTTTTATGATTTGCAATTTAACCCTTTCGCTGCGCAATACGTCTGAACGTAGCTACCGCGACGTGCGCAAAAGTTTATCGCGTGCGAATGTATACGTCTGGAGCAGTTAGACCACTTATAGTTTTACATTATGTTGTGTTAAATTACGATTTACGTTAAATTTTACGATTTTATTTTGAATAAAGTAGTGTATATGTACTAAATAGAAACTGAAAGAAATATGAACAGTCCTGGTATTATTACCAGTACCTCTTTCCATAAAAATATTTGTCACAATCGGTATAAGCTCGCCTGCAAAAATTCGCCTTACCAATTGCAATAACCGAGTCACTAATGCGCATGGTTGCGAATATATACGGCTTGAGCAGCCTGATCCAATTTAACTATTCATGCGAATTAATCCGTCTGGAGCAGTTTGAGCCCTATAAATTTTTAGCGAATATATACGTCTGGAGCAGTGAAAGGGTTAAGGAAATATTTTGTTCTTAGCATAACATGCATGTTTTCACTGGAACATGTCTTATTCCATATTAAACGTTCAACCCATATGGCAAGAGTGTTTGCAATTTGGAGAAAGTGTATTGGAGTTATTACAGGTCTAAACTATAGAGATTGTAGTAGAACCAAATTTGTTGAACTGAACATTTTAACAACACCTTGTAGAAAGGAAAATCCTATTATTTTCCTCTAAAAATATGTAGTTAATGGCATGACCTACTTTTTGTAACACCCTGTATAGTTTGTGTTATCTTAAAATTTCAACATACAAAAATGTAGACAAAGTGTTTGCACTTGAATGCATTTAATATTTTAGGGAAAGAGATTTAGATCACAGGAGTAGATATGGAAGGGAAGATTCTAGACCCCCAGCTAGTATTAAAGGACGGGAATGGGATGCAGAATATAGCGAACATGAATGGGACAGAAACAGGAGACCAGTTGATTGGGAAACACGTGACAATTGGGATAGCCTTGACCATAAACATGCCACAGAAGATGAGTGGAGACATTATAACCGTTCAATGGATGGCTGGTCAAACGATGATAGAAGGAGATGGCCTGCAGAATGGAGAGAAAGGTCACGTCCTAGAAGTTCTACTTCCCATCACAATGCTGATACTGCTAATGGTAAGAAAAATCACAAGTTATTGGCAAAGCAAAGTAACCATAAATAATTAAATGAATTTTTTACTTTTTTAATGGGCTTTTTACCACACTGAAAAGGAGGAAAACAATTTAATGTTATACAATTTTAGATAAATTACCCCCTGCATTATAAGTAAGGTCTGTCTTAATTAATTAATTGTATATTCTATGGTCATGTATTCATTTAACGTTATGGAAAATATACTTTTTGCAAATGCATGATTTTAACACATGATTTTTTAACACTTTCATGTATTACCCGAGAAAATAAACAAAAAGTAAGTAATTTTCCAGGATGAAAACTGCGTCTCAATGTCTTAATTCATTTGAGACATACAGAGTGATTGTAATTTTTTACTTATTATTTTCTTTGACAAATAGGCCACAAGTGGGACCTTTTTGCCTACTTCGCCGTTCCATTACCTATCCACTGTCTGCCTCTGATCCTCCTCGAACCTATCTGACGTCCTGATGAATGCTATGATTTTGATCCATGGCAGGTCCCTCACCTCATCCTCTTGCAACTCCTTGGTACTAAACACTATTCCTTAACCTCCCGAAGACTGCGTAATATCCCAGAAGATAAATAGGGGTATTCTCTCCATTTCCACATTTCTAACTAAAGAAAATAGATAAAAATATGTTTTGCTCTCAAATTACTCGTCGTAAAAAATTAAGATGAGCACAACTTTTAGTTTTTTGAAAATTTTCAAAAATCACCCCTATTTAGGAGTTGAAAAGATGCCCAAAATGAAGAATTTAATATTACCAATAAATATAAAAACTACAGTGAAACCTCCCTTAAGTGGACATCAACGGTCGAACTATTTTGATCCGCTCAAGAGAAATGGTAAAAAAAGGTACAAGATGATGTAAAAGTAAAATACAATATAAACATACAATTTAAACAAAAAATAACATACATTTTAATATAACGCAAACATATTGTAGAGAGTATTTTTTATATATTTATATATCTAGGTACAAATAAGAAGTGGATTTTATTTGTGGAAGGGCGAAATGGCGGTGACTATTAGACGCCTTCATTATAGCCATCTTTCTCTATCGCACAGATTTCTATGACTTACTTTATCGCTCTCACGTAACGGCCGATGAACCATGGGGACTTTCCGACCCTGTATGTTATTGAAAATAATCCGTTATTCACATTTATTTGGTCATAGTTAATATGAACCTTTTTTTAAAACATTTTCTTGTAATAATATTAACATTTCTAAACATTTACCATCATTTCTCTTCACAGCAAAAACTTTCAAATCTTCAATTCACTTTTGAGTTTCAGCATGTGTTGATATTGCTTTTTTCTATTACAACATCCACATCTTCATCATCATCAGAATATTCGTTTTCTACGGTTTCCTTTTTTGTAGTCAATTTCTGTTGCATTAAAATCTTGTTCCACATATAAATGTTTGTCAAACAAAATAAAATCCTCTGGCTCTACCAAGTTCAGCATCTGCCTGCCTTACAAGTCTAGAAAATGTAGCTATTTCGGACAACGGGAGGTTATCTTCTACATCAAACTCTTCATCCCCGCCAACAGCCGCATTATGGTTAAAGCCGCATTTTCATAAACTAAAACCGCTGTATTTTTTCCATTGCGTCACAAGCAATATTCGTATGAACTAAGACGAAAAATCCTAGTCAAATTAGTCATTGTTTTCATATAATTGAAATGTCATCTTGACAATTCCCAAATCTGGATTTCTGGCAAATTTTAATACTGGTGTTACCGGATATGAAAATATGCCAAAAAATTGATATTTCAACGCTCAGAAAATATATATAACAGTTAGTATGGAGACGCGATCAAAACAACTGTCAAATTTTTAATCTGAGTGTCAGTTCTGTTTTTAAATGCGCTAGTCAAACTATAGGCTAAAATTAATACCCAACAAACATTTTCTTTCACTCTAATACACATAAAATATTGGAACGGTTGTCTGTGATAGATTGAGACTATGAAAACATTTATACCATCATTGTATCTCTTTTTAGCGTGTTTAATAATGAATACACGTTCGCAACGACTGTCTTTGATATTAGGATACACGCGTGACATAATGGCAATCTTAAAACGGTTCTACTAGAATAACAATTTTTAATTGTATCAACACTCACTTGCTGCCATGCTGGATTTATGGAATAAATTGCATCCAAGATATTAATCGTTTTTCCCAATTGGATAGCAGATTCTGTATTCTCCATGTTATTTATGATATGCTTGAAATTCGAGATCGGTAGTGCATTTTAAAGTTATGCCGCTCGTGTCCGTCCAAGAGAAGTTTGCTTCGTTTTTGGGAGTAAAATATGTGTCCGCGTCCGCCCAAAAGAGGGTCTGGTTAAGAGAGATATAATTGTGAAGGAGAATATAGGGAATTTTTTCGTCGCATGAAAAGTGCGCTTAAAAGAGGCGCCCGTTTAAGGGAGGTGTCCGGAAAGGGAGGTCTTATTGTATTAGCATGTGAAATTATCTATCGAATGATTCTTGATATAAACAAAGATTTATTCTCATGACTGAAATAAGCATATTGAATTAGAAAATCCACCCTTAAGTGCGCTCAGGGAATGGAATCATCCCCAAAAATAGAGAATATCAGGAATTGTAAAAATTCCAAAAAACTATATTAAGATAATTCACATGCTAATAGTTTTTATCAATCAATTGGTAATATTCAAATTTTTCATTATTATTCATTATTATATATTATAGTAGTATTATTGTATTTTTCCAACCCCTGAGTAGAGATAATTTTTAAAATTTTCAAAATACTAAAAGCTATGCTCATTTCAGTTTTTTACGACAAGTAATTTGCGACCAAAAACATATTTTTATGTATTTTTTTTTAATTCTCTGCGAATTGTGAAAAAACGCAAAAATCAGAGGTTTTTTACAGTCACTCTTTATGGCACCTTTTCCCAATATTTCGTTTAAAAAAAAATCACGATTATTCTAATCCCTTTATAAAAAATTGGGATTATACAACTTCCGAGACGAAAACTGGAGATTACACTAAACATAAAATATTGGGGTGACCATTCTTTTTGTCCAATCATATACTACTTTCTATAGCTACCACATGATACAAACATTCCAGTGCCAGTTTATGCAAGTTGATATTTTAATCAAATTGATTTTTAATGACAAAGTTTAATTCCTAACCTAGATTTCTTTAATTCTAGACATATCTAATGTGCTGTGTTGTATTTTGATTGAAATATTTTTTTCTGTTTTAATTGTTAATAAATTGCCAATTAAATGGTAGTATACATTGTGTTCCATATTAAATAACCCTTTGCAATATCTTCTTGGAAAAGCACTTTCAAGAAAAACTTTTTAGTCAAAAGTTGTAGGATTTTGAAAGATGGTGATCTTGACCTTGACACAAAGGTCTACTGTAGATGTCATTTGAAGGTCAACTTTGATTTTTAGATATGATTGACACCAGAAACGGATAGAGCAAAAAATTTTACGTTCAGATATGCCTTTATGTTATGGTCAAAATGACCCTAAAGGGTTATTTTAGAGTCAAATCAGGTGGTGAATAAGATTTTGCGATATATTCGGAAAAGCACTTACAAAGATTTTGATTGAAAGTTTTATGGTTTAATGGGATCATACGATGATGACCTTGACCTTGACCTAGAGACCAAGTTTGAAGGTGCTTTGGAAGATCAAATCAAGTTACGAAATAGGAGAACCCTGCTTGCAGCCTCATTAAGTTAAGGCAGGATCGTTATGGCCACGCTTCGACCCGCCTGGCCAGGTCATGGTGACCTTACTTTGACTGGCCGGGTTATAGCGATCTTGCTTAATGGGGCTGCAAACAGGATTCTCCTATTTCGTATCTTGATTTGACCTTCAAAGAACCTTCAAGCTTGACCTCTAGCTCCTGGTCAAGGTCATCATCGATGAACCCATCAAACCATAAAATTTTCAACCAGAATCTTTCGTCATAAGTGCTTTCCCAAAAAATTTCGCAAAATCTTATTCAGAACCTTATTTGGCACTAAAATAACTTTTTAGGGTTATTTTGACCCATAACGTAATATGTGAAAGTAAAATTTTTCACTCTAGCCATTTCCGGTGTTAGAAATATATCTATTCTCTCATCTAAAAATCCAAGTTGACTTTCAAATGATCTCCACAATTGACCTTTGTGTGAAGGTTAATGTCATCATTGAATGTCCCCCTCAGAACCTTATAACTTTTGTCTAAAAAGTTTTCCTTGAAAGTACTTTCGTAAGAATATATTGCAATGCATTATTTAAAAATTATTCATTTCAGGTTTCTCAGGAATAAAACTGAACAAGATATTTTTAAATTTGTAATGGTATTTTGCAAAATATGCGGACTATAAATTGATTTTTGCTTTTTAGATGACTCCAATATTGAATCACGAAGAAAGGAAACAGCTCAATCAAGAACAGAAACATCAGATCAGAAAAATTCTCCTTCCGAGGAAGTAAAGAAAGAAGCTCAGCCTACACCAAAACGTGCCGCAGAGGAATCTTTAGAAAATACTCCTGATGCGAAGAAAATTTGTATCAAACAAGAAGTTCCTCCTGTTTTAGAAGATGATTTGAGTGAAATCAGTGACGATGCAGATGAGATTCTAAATCGAGATGAGGTACTTTTTTTTATTTAATTATATTAGATTTTCACTTTCTGATATTTTTTAAAATTTCTGTATATTTAAATTTTATCAGCCTAAATGTAACTATGACCTCTTAATTATAACGTATGATTTTATTTTACACTTGTTAAAATCATTCGCGAGAAAAATGCAATTGACCCAAGTCAAAGTTAAATTGTTTATTACAATAACTGAATTAGTTTTGAGGAATTCTGATGAATTCTGATTTTGGCGAATTAATTTGTTTTTTGCCCATCTATCACCCTGTTACTACAAGATCCGACTGCGAGATTACTACATTCATCTGGTTTTTAATCGAAATACAATTTTTATAGATAATTATGAATAGAGGAATATGTTTCTGCCGGGTTGCCTATCAAAATATGGCCGCAGGTATTTTTAATTAAAATTAAATTGATTAATTTTTTCCAAATAATTTTGCTCACTTGTTTTTAAGATAAATTATAATTCATTTCACAGAGAGATAAGTAAAGAACTAAAAAAGATTGGTAAATGTAACATTTTTCAAAAAAAAAGTCCGGCCAGCCCATGGTTCGAACCGAGGACCTTCGGCTTCGCAGTAGCGAGCTTTCAAATTGAATTACGGTGGCCTACGGGTGGGTACGGGCATCAAAAGACAAAATATATTTTGACGTGTTCACTGACATTTGGAAAAAATTTATTAATTTAATTTTAATTAAAAATACTTACAGCCATATTTTGATAGGCAACCCAGCAGAAACATATTCCTCTATTCATAATGATCTATAAAAATTGTATTTCGACTAAAAAACAGATGAACATAGTGATCTCGTAGTTGGATTTTAGACTATGTTTATACCATATGGATTAGTAAATGCATATTGTCTAGTTCACCAGGTCAATGTTAATTGACATAAAGTTACAAACTAAATACTGCTGATTTTAAAAAATGCTATATATATATCAGATTCCTGCAGACTTTTATTTTTTATTAGGGTTTCATAATGAATGCCTATCCCTATACTAGTATTAGATATTTTTTAATAAATCATGCAAAAAAATTAGTTATTTAAAAATACTCCAAAATTTTTTAAATGTTTTTACTTAAAAATCATTGGGTATTTTGAACATGACATTGCTTTCCTCCATATCAAATTAAAAAAAAAAAGTTTAACAAGATATGCTGCATTTTTTTCAACTTCAACACTTATTTTTATCCAAAAATTTATTTATTTATTAAAATGTAATGAAAAAGAAAAAACATTTAAATATTGTTCTTTATGAAGGTTGTAAATATGGTAGCATAATAATAGCAATAGAAATTAAATTTTTTAATTCAATACTGACTAGTGATGTAACGAATATCCGCATTCGCATTCGCGAATATTTGTTTGATTTATGATATTCTCATTCGCAAGTATTTTTGAATCTTTTGCGAATATGAACGTGAAAGAAAAATACAGAATATGAAAACAATACTATAACTAACAACAGTCTAACCTCACAATTCACAAACTCATCTGAGCCGGTAGCGAAAACAAAACAAAATTCCAATCATACAAAAATACCATTCTACCAACTTAACAACGCTAATTTCTTTAGCCTCTAGCACCACTGTCACCGGAAATATTATGCGCGTCGCGCGTGGCATATTTTGAATCATAGATAAACGGCGCTAGATTTAAAAACTGAATATTCGTATTCGCATTCGCGAATGTCAACGACACATGTTTGCATTTGTATTCGCATTCGCGAATGCTTAAAAACTGACATTCGTTACATCACTAATACTGACCCATTAGATTCTCCGATCAGTTACCGATTTTTAAATGACCAATCATTCAACCATCACTACCAGTTAGTCATTTTTAATTTCCCATCTGATCCCAAAACTGAAATAATTAACAAATTCAGTAATAAAAATATTTTCTATATGATATGCACGTTTTGTTTATCACTATGCATATTGATAGTATTTATAAAATTGTAGGAGATTGCCGAAGCTGCAACAGAAGAACAACCCACTCAAGCAGATACAACGGACACCACTTCACTGAAAGACCAAAACACATCGACAGCATCTCAGAAGTCTCAGTCACCTCCAAGATCACCAAACAAAATCATCCCCAAAGAAGAATCTTTAGAGGACAACATGGATCTTGATTTTGAAGAAATTTCGGAGGATGAATTGGAAGAAGAATCTAAAATAAAAGGAATAGGCGATGCTCTCGGTGTAGATTGGGCTAGTCTGGTAGCAGAGTTTCGTCCCAGAACTAAACCGAGTAGTTCTGCAAAATTACGATGGGAGAGCCACAATGTCTTGGTTAACTTGGGTATCTCTGTCAGATTCGCAGGTGAAGACCTCGTTAAAGACATTTTGCAAGAGCACGCTGAAGCCAAGGTCAAAGAACGGTTAGAGCAGAGGGAGAAAAAAGATATCGTTAAAGTTAATATAAAGACAGAACCTGTCGAGGTGAACGTAAATGGAGTAATGCTGCAAATAAAGGAGGAACCAAAAGACACCATTGAAGAAGAAGTGCATGTTAAGGAAGAGATGCAAATTGATTATGATGACGTTATTATATCTCATCCTATTGCAGCTATTCAGGTTGCTAATCGAGGGAAGCATGCAGACCGTACAGCTTTGTTTTCTAATGTAGGATCGCATCGTCGTGCGCTAGCAGCGAGAAGAGATCTTACCATACGAAGGCAGCTGTGTAATTTACCAATTAATGACACATACGTCGAAGCTCCTAAAAGACACGACCCTGAATTACTGAAAATTGCCACACAACTATTTGAACGTTGCCTGTAATTAATTTAAAAAATAAAACTTTTTTGAAAAAATGATGTGATGTAACATGTCCAAGTCAAGTGGCCTAGGGCTTCCCGCTCGACCATCTCCAATTTTGCTGGATGTATATGCGTATCTGGAAGGAAGTTCTGTTTAGTTTCAGCTCCAGATATCAAATATTTCATCCTTTTGACTGGAGCTTCTACTGATTGGCGCTATGTCGGCCATGAAAATTCTGAAAAGTTTCACATGCTCTCGTAACTTATCCAGATTGAGTATGATGCTGAAATTTGACATACTAGATCAAATTTTTCAGGTAAATGAGAAAAAATTTGTATGAATCCTCCAAAAGCAACACATGATTCGCGTTACACTGTTTGTGCCATTTTTTCGCAATAGATAACTATAAAACAAAATGCAATCTAGTTCCCAGTAGACTAACCAGCGCTGCACGATACTATACTGCAGAAATAATAGTAATGGCTACTATATTAGGTTGGGGAATAAAAATTAAAGATATTTTATTTTTAATTCTAAATTATCAATAGGCTAATCAGTGCTTCGGTTTTGACTTGAAAAGATTTTTCAAACAAGCTCTTATTGTCATTGTAAAAAGAAACATCACATAGGGAACTTGGCAAAGAGCGGAAGAGGTGAATATTAGAAGGACCTCCAATTAAAAGGACATGCTGCCCAGAATATTAAATATCTGGAACTAAAACTTTACAGAACTTCCTTTCAGATACGCATACATATCCACACCAATTTTCAGCAAAATTGAAGATGGTCGAGTGGAGACGATTTTCTAAACTAGGCCAATTGACATGGAATGATCCTATAATGTAGTTACGAATATTATTTTATAAACGAAGGAACACAAAATAATTATCCTGAGAATATCATATCAAAAGTCAGAATGTTCTTTATTTTAGAATTATTTAAATTATATTGAATGTTATTTTTATTGTTATTGTTTATTTCTTTATTTACCTGCTCGTGAACTTGAACTTCAGAAAAACAAGAGTTCTCATTGTCATTCTACAAACTTGTAATTAGAATAAAATATTAAAAATCTTTAGTTGGTATTTAATGACGTGAAAAAAATAAAATTTCATTCCCTGCCGAAGGGATCAACCACATCCCGTTTTTTTTCAGAACATCTCGCGCGTGCGAAATCCTATGTGTTCGATAGTCTGTGTCACCGAAAGCCTCGTCTACGAAATCCTGTCTGTCTGGAATCAAGTTCACCCAATTGTAGCGATCGGGTGGGGAGCGAAGTCCATTATGCAATTCGACTGGGCGGTTATTCATTTCAATTAATTAAATAAGCTAAGCATTTGATGTATTATTTTTCAAAGTTTTTGGATCAAACAGATTTTATTGATGTAACTGCTGATTCAGATTTTTTTAACCTAGCAATCAAACAGATAAAGGCACATTGCTACTCCGCTCATTCAATAAATTGGATTTTTAAGCAGTGCACACAAATAATTAAATTAAACGTCCACAAAAATTGATTTGCATAGTCATAAATCTAATATACTTAGTATATTAGATCTATGCAAATAGGAGAATAATTGACAACAGTGACAAAGTGACAACTGACAATTCAGTCGAATTATGGAGTGGTCTTCTCTCCCCAGTAGTCTGCTGCGATCGGGTAAACTCGATTCGGTGACATAGTCTATCGTACACGTAGGATTTGGGAAGCGTAGGATGTACCCTTTTTTTTGCTTAACGAAAACCAAAAGTTTCATAAAAGAATCATTAAAAAAATAACACATTCTTACTCAATGTAGTTCCTGAAAACAACAAATGGAGGCCTACATTATGGTAGACATTGACTTGAATACAGAATTAGTTGATCTAAAATCCTAAAAAACATTTAACCCTTTCACTGCTCCAGACGTATTTATTCGCTAAAAATTTATAGGGCTTAAACTGCTGCAGACGAATAAATTCGCTTGAATAGTTAAATTGGATCAGGCTACTCAAACCGTATATATTCGCAATCATGCGCATTAGTGACTCGGTTGTTGCAACTGGTATATGGAATTTTTGCAGGCGGAGCTTATAGCGATTGTGGCAATTATTATGGAAGGAGGTACTGGTAATAATGCCAAGATTGTTCATCTCTTTTTCAGTTTCTGCTTTATAATAAAATAATAATTTAAACTATTACAATTATTTTGAAACGTTTAAACATATTTTAATTTAATTTAACACAACATAATGTAAAAATAGAAGTAGACAAATATATTCGCACGTGGTAAACTTTCGCGTAGCTACGTTCAAATGTATTGTGCAGCAAAAGGGTTAAGGGGAATATCAGAGTAGAAAATGTTTTTCAAAATTTTTTTTTTTGCCCAAGGTTTGTAGATGTGTAACTTTCATATTGAAATTCCAATAATTATGGAAGTTATGGGTAATTTACCGGAATGCATCAAGGTGGGAAGCATTGCGAGATCGAAAACGAACTATATTCATACCGCCGAAGGATCAAGTGAAGGCAGTCTTGGTCTGTGGAGGGCCTACTGTATGGTCCAAGAATCGCAGATTAACGGTAAGCAAAAAAATGTTTTCTCCATATACAGGGGTGAAACTTTGAGGGGGGTGGGTCATATTTATACAGAGGCTTCCTTTGACCTTTAGAAACGTGTATCAATAGTTTATTTTCTCATATTCCATTGTAAAATCTTAATTTTTTTTTAAACCGTTTTTTAATCATTTTTGTACCCTGCCGCTGGAGAAGCTTTAGATGCAGCATATGCACAATTCCACAACATTTGCCGCGTAACTTTTGTTGAGAGGGTGTTCGCCACACAAACAGTACTTAACAAGTAACCTAGCAAATAAGTCCGCCAGTAATCAACAATGATAAATGAAATACACAAAAAAAAGTCTGTTGATGAACTTTCAAATTCACGCCCTTCGCTTCGTCACCATTGACCCGCACTGTAGGTTGCCTAAATGAATATTACAATGGCGGCGTACACAAGTATTAAAGTGCATATAAAAATATTAATTATAACTCGACTATTTATTTAATTAACCCTTTCGCTGCGGAATACATCTGAACGTAGCTACCGCGCCGTGCGCGAAAGTTTACCGCGTGCGAGTATACTCTTCTGGAGCAGTTAGGCTACTTATATTTTTGCATTATGTTGTGTTTAATTAAATTAAAATATGTTTAAATGTTCAATGTCACTTTACTTAGGAGCCTTCATAAATGTTTACAAGCTACGTGCGGTCGAGCTTAGGCAACCAACATTGCAGGGTTGGTATTGGTAATGAATATTCCCTAAATCTTGGTATCACCAACGCCTTACCGAGAACATCACGGCGGCCTTCAACAGGGGACAGTACCCTGGTGCTGTCTTTCTGGACGTCGCAAAGACCTTCGATACGGTTTGGCATGAAGGCCTACTGATGAAAATGCTCACCAACCAGTATCCCATATCCTTTACCAAACTACCTACACCACCGAAAATTCCGCATCCAAATCCAAGATTCCCTTTCCACCACCCGTCCCATGGAGACCGGTGTCCCCCAGGGCACCGTCCTGTCCCCACACCTATACACCATTTACAACTCCGACATCCCACATCCCCCCAACACCAACATATACTTATACGCCGACGACCTGACAATCACATCCCAATCCGTAGATCCTAGATATTCCTCCTCCAAAACTCCTTAGACCAACTTGAAACCTGGTGCAACAGGTGGAAAGTCAAAATTAATCCCAACAAAAGTTCGGCTATCCTTTTTACCAAACGAAAGATCCCACAAAACCTCGACAGACTGACACTATCCCAGGAACCCATTTCCTGGAATAGACAAACACGATACCTGGGCGTGACGATGGACCAGCGTCTTACGTGGAAACCGCACATCGTGGAGACGGTGGCGCGAGCGAAGACCACCAGGGCTAGGCTCTATCCCTTACTCAAAGGTGGAAACACCCTCAGTTTAAGGAATAAGCGAACACTTATCAAGGTGGTACTTCAACCGCAGCTAACCTACGCCTCCACGGCGTGGGGTCACGCGGCAAAAAGCCACTTAAAGTCATTACAGGCTGTGGAAAACATAGCCCTCCGCACGGCCACCGACGCGCCCTGGTACGTAAGAAACTCTGACATATTACGAGACTTACAATACACAAATGCTACACAGACAATAAGACAAAACGCGGAGAAACGGTTTGACGTAGCCGCTAGACATGACAATCCTCTCCACACATAAACATGACACCACCCCCGGGGTTTACACAGACGAGTCGGTGAAGCAAGAAGAGGGCCAGAAGAAAGGGCCCTAGCCGGCGGGGCCCAGCCAGGACAAAAGGAGGTCCCACAAAGCGCCTACACCGGCCGCATTTGCGGTCGGGGTAGACGACGGATGGGGCCCACCTACGAGGGCTGTCCAGGCCTACACGAGATGAGGCAGGATAAAGAGGGATAATCCCCCTCGATCCCAAATCATTGAGGCCAATTTCTAGCCATGGAATAATGGCGGCGGTATCACCAACATTAATGATTCGTTTACAATGAACAATGACAAACAGTTACATTTACGCATGAAATAATACGATTGCTGATGGGTTGAATAGAATCTAGAAATTTAATTGGCAACATGAAGGAAATAAAAATACTGATTACGTGGCTTGTAATCATTTATGAAAGCTCTATTGTGCAGCACAAAATATCTGTATTTATTCAGAAGACATTTGGAGTTACACATTTTTTTAAAAATGAAAATAGTTTCTTACACAGAGGAAAACTTTAGAAATTAGCTATCAACCATCAACATAAAAATTTTGAGTGCACTGATAGTGCAATTTGGAATTAAATCCTGAATAATTTCTACTGATATTGATAAGTGCTTGATTGTATATTAAGATATTCTATAAATCATAGGCAATTTTATTGGTAAATATTTAATTTTGTTAATAAGTCAAAAAATATGCAAATGTGTAAAACAATCAATTAGATCTAGACCGCTTATTTTAAATTACGTTTTCATGTTCTCTTCTGTTTTGAGTAAATAAGATAAGTTACTTCCTACATCAATCTCAAGTGGATCCTTTCCCCTAAAATAAATAAAAAATTAATATACAATTTTCTAATATTTAATATGCCAGTTCTATTCTAGGTAGGTAGTAATCTGAGATAAAAACTCACTTTATAAATAGCCTTGCACCTTTTAGTCCTTTTAAGATAACTGTATTATCTTTAATATAAAGTGTGGATCCTTCATGCAGGCCTAAAACTGTGTTTGATTCTTTTTCCTCAAGATATTGTAGAATTCTCTCTTCTCTTGTTTCACCCTTATGTTTTGAATTTGGATCAGCATCTAAATAGTGTGGATTTATATTGAACGGAACCAAATTTAAAGCTTCAAATGTAGGAGGATATACAATTGGCATATCATTTGTGGTATGTATACTTCTAGTTGCAACATTTGTTCCTAAAATATCGAGTAGTTTTGTTAATAAAGTGATAAATAAGAGAAAAGATACATAGTTTTCAAGTTGAAAAGAAATATCACATTTATTTAAATATTGGACTTCGATTGATAAACCTTAGACTAATAATTTATCTATAGACAAAAATTCTTTGAGCTGTATACAAATCTGTCATCCACGGAACTACTGGAATGCACTTCAATAAAAGTATTTCAAAAATTGAATAAGTGCATTTAATTTTTAATGTTATTTCTAAGAAAAAAGGTGTCTTACTTTTTATTCAAAAACGAGCCATTTTCGAGTAAATGTGAAATGAATGAAGTTCACATAGCAAAGTCTCAATATTTTTATTAGTTCTACTTTGTGTTTTTAAAGTAAAACTGGGACACCCTGAATGTACAATGTACGTTCATGTTCATAAATTAAATGAAACTCGAATATTTCATACTGATTATACATAAAAATAGCGCATACTTATTCTACACCAACTATAATTGGTTTTTAGCGATTTATGAAAAATTGTATATTAGCCATTTTTTTATCCAAAATCTAATAACATGGCAGGATTTACAAGTAGTAGGTATGATCAAATTAGTTTAAAATTATGCACCATTGTAAGGTACGTCCATTTAATAAAAAACATTTGAGCTCATTAGTTTCTTTTTACATATTAGGTACATATTTATAAATCAGAACAAGTTGTATATAACAACATCAAAAAAAATATTTCATTGGAATTAACATGTTAAAATGTTCTGTCCTATACTGCATTCCTATTTATTTTTATTTGCAGTGAAAAAAAAATATATGAATATCGAAAAAATAACAGTTGTATGTCAGAATGATATTTCATAGATAATTTCTTACATTTCTCTTTAATTTTTTCTTTCGACGATTTTTTTATTATAACATTTTAAAAATTATTCGGTAAACATCATAGAAAGGCAAAAAAAATGTATGTAACAAAGGGTTTAAATTTGAAATTACCTGCACTTGTACCAATGTATGGAATACCATCTTTAAGGACTTTTTTTGCAATAGCCTTAACCAAATTTAAATCATACAAAGTTTTAAGAAGTCTAAATGTATTTCCACCTCCAACAAATATTGCCTCTGCTTTTTCAACTGCTTCTAAAGGATTTACTTTGTGAATACCCTCAACACAATATCCTGAAACAAGTTTATGTAAAATTTAAGTTCAAAAACACTAAATTTTTTTTCAAACCCCATTTCTTGAATGGTATTTCCACTTTTTTTAAGTAAGCATCATGATCACTTAAGGCGTATGGAATGAATAATACGGTAGATACTTTGTTTCTAAAAGTATTAAAATAAATTGTGACGACTATGTTACTAACTTTTTATTAATTAAATTACATTTTTTTCAAATGTATATATTTATAAAAAAACTTACCCATTTAACACTTCACAAATATCATTTGCTGCATATTCTAAAAATTCGTGGCCATGAACTTTTGAAGAAGACAGTAGCAAAATTTGTCTCAACATAGTTTAACTTAAAAATGCAGCTAACTAATATACTAACAAAAAGAAAATACTACAATAAATACAGCTTTATCTTCGGTCATAAATACTTTTTGATTTAAAATTAGAAAAGTTTATTATCCGGGATTTATAGATTAAAAAACTATTCTACATTCTGCGCCCTGACTACATGATTGTCAGATTATAACCTGAAATCAGGAATGTAATAATAATAAATTATTATTGATGTGATAAAAGTTTTATCAAATAACTAAGAAGAAATGTGTATTTATTTGTTCAGTGGCAGCTGGCAGCATTGAAAATGAAAACTACTGTAGTTAACAGGGCTGATTCATAACTATATTTATATTTGCGAAATCGCAAAAATAGCGGTGTTTATTATTATTTAAGAACAAGATACACAGACAAAAAAACACTATTCGTTTATTATGAAGTATTACAGGAAAATTATGGGGTATTTTTGATAAATTTTATTCTTTGTATTATTTCATTTCCGTAATAATAAATTATGTCAAGGTTGTCAAAGTCTCCTGATTGTCAAAGTCCCAAGCTGTCAAATATCCTAACTAGTGATGGGAGATTTCGAGTGAAAAATCGAGTGGTACTCGATTATTGAGATCACTCGAGATATCTCGAGATGTTTACTCCCACCACTCGAGTGATTATTACCCTACGGTTGCACCCCAAAATGTTAGTGCATACTGCAAATAGTCACTGATTGCGTAACCTTTTTTTAAAAAAAAAACAAAAAAAAGTGGTTAGGTTTTAAAGTGCGTGAGCTTTTTTTTTTTAGCTACGCTTATAAGTAATATATGACTAATACAAACATATTTGTGCGCCCGCCGCTGGGATGAAAACGACCAATATCTCGTATCTCGAGTGATCACTCGATTATTAGAAGTACTCGATTATCAAAATTGGTCGATTAGGCCCATCTCTAATCCTAACTACAGGATATTCTGTGCTTCGAGCATTATACTACTGGAGGACGGAGGTAGCCTCTCAATGACCGGGCGTCTTACAAAGTGAAGAGAGAGATAGTTGAAAGGAAGGTACACGGTAACTCTCTCGCGCCAAACGTGATTGGCTCACGACTGATCCAACGTCACAGCTTATACAGCTCCCGACAGACCACCTAGACTGACTTATAGAGCGACTTTGGTGGAAACACTTTGGAGCCTGATTTGGAGCCCAGCGCTCAGTCGTGTCCTAGCATCTAACGTGTACGCATCGCTGTGATTTCGATAATTAGACGTTTTATCATGGACAAGTGTATTGTAAAACATTGTATAAATACAAGTGATCGAGTTGGTGAAGAGAAGCGAAAAGTTTCCTTCTTTAGGTAAGTAAAAAAAAGGAATAGATAAAAGGTAAATATGTACGCCATTTTTCGGTTGACGTAACAAGTTTCCAGGGTTAGCTTTATAATTTTGTTCGCCCACATAGTGTAGTGATTAACGTGATATTGTTATTATAAAATAATGAATGAATTACTGTAAAATATTTTTAGTAATTATTTACTTTATGCGAGTCTTAAATTTTTATGAAATTTACCAATTCCCGTCATTTCGAGATAGTTGAAAATTAATGAAATATTCTTTTCAATTAAAAAAAATCGCAAACAAAACTAATTTCAGATACAGTATTCGTACAGTCAATTAATTTTTATTAAAGATCGTGGTTGTTTGACGTATCCATCTCGAGAAGTCGTAGTAATACGCTAAGAAACAGAAAAATTAATAAAATTTTTAAATAATGATGAAAGCAGAACACCTAGGCTACAGAAAAATAAAATTGTTTATCATGTATTAAAAAACTTTCTGAATGTGAACATATTTGAAAATTTGCATGAACATCAATTTGATAATTTGCCTAACAATTGTAATCATTTAATAGAACTTGTAAGGGCTGAATGTGAAAAGTATATCGATGTACGAATAAATCATGAAGTCAAATTATTTAATTCGGTAAAATCTACGAAAAGGCAAATATTAAATAAATTAAT